TATATATATATAGTGTGACTACAGTAATATATTGTATGCCTAAATGTCTGTACTTTTTACTCTGAATGTTCACCCAGAATCGTCGTGTGAAAGAATAAAGTTGTTGTTTTTTCCTTTTCAAACTGTTCAATTCTTTTATTTAATAGAGAGTGAGTGGGTGGTTGGCGGGTGCTTTTTGACATGGTTTGCTCCCTTTGCATAAAAAAATCTATCGTCATTTTCTCCTCTCCTTGTGTTTGCATGCAACACCCTAGGGGGCTGTTCGAATAGAATCTTACACTTTTTGGGGGACTTTTTGACCCCCCCTCCCCTCCCAGGCGTAAGATAATATTTGAACAGCCCCTAGTCCAACCGTGCGCTGTGTTCTTTTTTGTGTCGCAAGTGCGCAAAATGTTTACTATAACTTTGAGAAAAGAGATTTGAGGGAAAGAAAGGGATGGGTGCGGGGGGAGGGGCCTTAACGATTTTCAATTGAAGTTCAAGCGCAAGATAGATAGATAGATAGATAGACAGATAGATAGATAGATAGATAGATAGACCATAGAACACTGTATTGGCCTACCACTATCAAAGAACACTGTATATTGGCCTACCACTATCATAGAACACTGTATATTGGCCTACCACTACCATAGAACACTGTATTATAGTGTATCTCTCCCCTCCGCACTTGAAATAATATGTTCCTGACGACACCTGCCACTGTGTGTGTGTGTGTGTGTGTGTGTGTGTGTGTGTGAGAGAGAGACAACCTCACAACACCTGCCAGTGTGTTGAAACAGCTGCTCACTGAGTGACTCTTCATCTTCACGTCAGTCTAGCTTGTTTGTCTGTTTGTCTGTCTGTCTGTTTGCTTCACTGTTGTGATTGTCTTTCCCACGTGGAGTAATCCAGTGGCCCATGCACGCCCGGCCACTCACGAGTGTCACCCAAAAGCTGCCGTGAGGGGTGAGTTGATCTCGTGCAGACTGCGGTGTGAGTGTCCTGTGTATTCTGCGCTGTCCTCCGTGAGTCAATCTACCAGCTCACTCACGGGCTCACGCACACAGCAACTCAGGGGCTCACGCACACTGCAACTCACGGTCTTAGGGACAAGGTTTCTTCGGTAAGTGAAAAACTAAAATGAGATTGTGCGAATCTTTCATTGTGTGCTTGTTATGTCGAGTTTAGCGAGGTCTATTTAGTTGAACTGTAGTGTGCGTGTGTGTTTGTGTGTGTGTGCTTGTGTGTTTGTATGTGTGTGTGCTTGTGTGTGTGTATGTGTGCTTGTGTGTGTTTGTTTGCGTGTGTGTGTGTTGAACTGTAGTGTGTGTGTGTGTATGTTTGTGTGTGTGTGTGTGTGTGTGTTGAAC